CCCTAAACACTAAAGCTAAACCCTACACCCAAAATCTAAACCTTAAACCCTAAACCCTAAACCCTAAACCCTAACCCTAAACCCTAAACTCTAAACCTCAACCCTAAACCCTAAACCCTAAACCCTAAAATGTAGACCCTAAACTCTAAACCCTAAACCCTATTGTGTCAATCTTGAATTTACATCTTGAAGTATTAATCGTGAATTCATTAACCGTAATCTTTATATAGTAAAACAATATATTTTCAAGAGGTTTAGTACCTAAGCTTAGGTGGGGCTGTAATATATATATATATATATATATATATATATATATATAGAGAGAGAGAGAGAGAGAGAAAGTACACGTCTTCCTGATCCCGAAAATATAAATTTCGTATAAATATGACTCCGTGTGAATTAGATATGATTTTTATAAAATATAAAAGTCAGTCGCGCACAACGATATATGACGTAAAAAGTTACGAAGAGAATGGTTATTTTTTAGCTAATGTCACCAAAACAAAAATCGTATTACTCCTTAAAATATGATTTTTTAGAAAAAGAATGCTAAAAACGGAGTTTGTATGAGAGAATTATGATTTAGCAAAATCATATAAGTTTATAAAAATATTGACGAAAAATAAAGTCAAAATTAGCCGACTAAGTCTAAACGAAAGTTGTAGATCTCGTCGATAGCTACACATGGATATAAAGAACAACAAAAACGGAGTTCGTATAAACGAGTTATAAGTTATAATAGCATATATATATGTATTAAAATAAAGTATATATATATATATATATATATATATATATGTGTGTGTGTGTGTGTGTGTGTGTATCATTAGAAAGGTATCGACGATACGGTCATTATAAGACTAGTGTTGAGTACTTTCGATATTATTTTAGTACAAATATCGTTAAATCTATCTAAAATAGTAATATAAAGGGATGTTTTTGTCGTTTATATAACTATAAGGTTATTAAGTAACTACAGAGGGTAGTTTTTGAAAATTCAATTACTATAAATAAGAGTCTCTAGGCTCTCATATTTATTGCACAATTCTCTTGATTCAAGAGTATTTCTCTTCTTATCCACCGAGCATTTCGGTCCCTCGTGATTCAGTTTCTCTTTCTGTAGTTTTAGTATAGTAAGGTGAGTGTTAAAAACTGCAAAAATCTTTCTTAGAAAGATTCAGCCACGAAGTTATGCCGCTGCAGAGCCTGGTTCCTAGCCAAACCCCCCGGTAAGTGAGTTATGTTTACCCTTTTTTAAGTCTAACTTATGTTTAAGTTCATTATCGTTATTATTAACTTATAAACAAGATTTATCAGTGATTCCAAGTCGCTATACCGATTGATCTACTTACGGGGATGATATATAGGTTGTGATTTAGCGAGGTGTTTAAAGTGGGATTTCCAAACAATATATTTCGTATACCAAACGGACCGTACCTCCGATATGATCCTACCTAGTTGTTCCTTACTTGATAGATCATGAAAGTAGACTTTGAGTTAATGATGAATCTAGACTAATAATTAGTCGCAATAAAGCTTAGACTAAAACTTAGCGATAATAATGTTAGGTTTTGTCGAAGGAAAGTAGAATCGTTAGAAGCGAAGCGTTGTCCGAGTTTGGAATCATTACTTTAACACATGAGTGCATAGTCCCTTTCATGAATATGATTTTAATACAATTATTGATCGAAGTATTAAATATATGTTTATCTGTGAATTATTTGATGTTGTTTAAAATACGTGTTAAAGAACATACCTGATAATATATGATGATTTAGGGTAAAGAGTAAATCTAAATTAATTATGAGGCATATCAGATAGTATCTTCTTATAAGTACGAGTGAGATATACACATAGAATAGAAAATTAAAAGATGTCATTGATCCGGGAGCATGGATTAGACATGGTCATTTGTCCTTAGTCCGAGAGTATGTATAAGACATAGTTATTTGTCATTAATCCGGGAATATGGATTTAGACATAAACAATTGTCTTTAGTCCGAGAGTATGGATAAGATATAGTTATTTGTCATTAATCTGGGAGTATGTATTGAGGCATAGTCAATTGTCCCTAGTCCGAGAGTATGGAATGGACACAATTATTGATCTGAGAGCATGGATTAGACATACTTGATCCAGGAGTATGGAATAAGTAAAAAGGTAAATTTTAGATCCGAAAGTATGGACAATGTCGTTGAGAGGATTGGCGGGGTGGGGTAAGAGTTGTTTATACATGGTGGAAATTGTATACTTGTGAGTTCTAATATATATATATATATATATATATATATATATATATATATATATATATATATATATAAATAACATTTTGGGATTGAAATCCCAATGTACTCACCAGGTTTTCCAACCTAACTCACTCAGTTTTTTGTATCACATGTGTCAATATGAAGCTACATTACACTGAGAGATTAAGGAAACGTAGATCACTAGTATAAATGAATGTAAGGTCTGTTTATGCTTATGTTTTTTTTATTGACGATGACATCCAATGTTTTAAAAGGAATAAAATACATTTCTTCGAAAATGTTGTGATAACATATTTATCATGTTTTTCTGAGAACAAATTCTGCAACATTTTTTTTAAATGATACTCTGATTTTCAAATAAAGCATAAACAAATCGGTCTTTTTTGGTCGTGAATTCGGGGATGTCACAGATCCTTAGCCTAACTTATAGCATACATATCATATTATAACACATATAACAACAACTCAAATGCAACATATATAAAACAAGTATAAATATTTTGGGAAATCACTTACTGGCTGTACACATCGCATCTTCTTTCTCCTGCCCTTGAAATGAATCTTTTTCTAAAAAGGTTTATAAAAACTCTTAACTCCATAGTTTGAGTTTGGAATCCTACGAATGTTCATCCAAATCCCTCAAATCAAGGCTCTAATACCAATTTACAATATCCCAAAAACTCGGGCTAAAACTTCAAAAAAAAATAATAATAATAATATAACATCTATTTTCAGTAAAGTTATAACCATTTGATCATAAACCATTATTCCGAAATCGGAGTTAATAAGAAGATAGAGCGGAATCTCAAATCATAAAAATTTTGATGTGTGTGTATAATCCCGCCTTCACAATCTGATAAGTACTTGCAAAATATTTAATTCACAACTATAAGCACAAATCTTAGTGAGTTCCCCAAAATATCACATACATCACAACATAATAATCAACTAAAGGTTATCAACAAACTCTGGTGACTATCAACGGTTCCAATAAGCTAACAGCATGCCCGGTGGATTAACAACACACCTCATAGGTTATCAACAACCTTGGGGACTAACAACAGTCCTATGGACTTACAGTAGTCCTGGAGTTATCAGACCCTAATTTCACATATAACAAAAATCAACAAATAATACCCAGTTGATCGACATGCATATATTATCAAAAATGCAAGTATAGTGAGAAGACCCACCTCGTGAGTAGGAACTAGCACACAACAGCTCACACACTAGATAGATATGTACAATGAGACACCTAACATCAATAAAGAGGTACCCTCTTAGTCTACACCCTAAATTTGACAAAGAGTCAACCATGGTTAAAGTTAACGGTCAATGTCAAAGTCCACTTCAATAGGTCGCCATGACGTGGCCTCCCATTGCCACGTTGTGGGAGAAAAACGAGATTGTGTTTTTGTTTTTTTTTTCCAATTACATGTGTGTGTGTGTGTGTGTATATATATATATATATATATATGTTTTTCAATCAAGAGAGTGATGTCACTAATATCATCACGACTAACACGTTATTATGGGTTATATTAGCACCATGTCATAAAAAATTAATATGTTAGCTAAAAACTGGGTTGGTCGTTCAAATGGTCAAACATTAAAACAAATTGAAAAAATATAGTATCAAAAATAGAATTTTATTAAAATTTAATGTCTTGATTGTAAGAAAAGTAAAAGTAGAATTTTTATATAAATTTTTATTGTTTTAAAGCAATTTCCCTTACTTTCACGGTCTTTAATTTAATGTTAATAATATTTCATTAACTTTATGTAAAGAAGTGTTCCATCAAATAGTCAAAATACTTTAAACAAGTATGCGGTCTTGGTCTTTGTATAAAATGCATCTTTTAACATTTTGTAATGTCGATTTTCATACTCCGTAATAAGGAAAATAAACCATATGAATAATATTATATAAAATTTATACATTAAAATATTCAAATGATGATCCATGAAATACATTAAAGTAGATGATTTAATATAAACTGATCATCCAAATATACGTTTAATAACATTTTCTATTATACGTAGATCGAAAATGAACTAATGAGTAAACGAGTGCTTGATAAGGTCTCCTTGGATCTAAAGAAAAGTCAAATATTTAATATAAATGTAAATTACAAGTACACATCATCAATTTAAAAAAGAGCATATAAGAACAAACCAAGAGAAAAGTCAAACTTCTAACAAGTCAAACATTACACACCAATAGCGATTTTTCAAACTGAAGAACTTATCAAAATCAGATACATAAGATGACAAGTCGACAACCCTAATATTACAGAAGAATTCATCAAATTTATTTCATTTCAGTAGCCAAAATCGATGGATTAATCAAGGTATGATTATACTTCATTAATGGAGGACAGAAAAGCTAATATCATCGCTGTTTCATCGATCATCTTCCTCATCGTTGTCATCATTGTCGCCCGGGTAGTTCTAGATCTAAAAAGATCGTTTTTTCTAATCGTCGGCGCCGCCGTTGCTGGGATTTTAGCAGTCATTGCTTTCTACTTCATCCGGCGACATCTCCACCACAGACGAAGGATGATGGAAACTAGACTCGCATCTGAAGGAAAAGAGCTCCGAATCGAGTATAGCTTTCTCCGGAAAGTAGCCGGACTTCCGACGAAGTTCAGGTATAAAGAGCTTGAGGAAATCACCGACAACTGGAAATCTTTAATCGGAAGAGGAGCTTCCGCTTTTGTGTTCAAAGGAATCATGAAAGACGGCACCGCCGTCGCCGTGAAAAGGATCCAACATGAAGAGGAGAGGGGAGAGAAGGAGTTCAGGTCGGAAATCGCCGCCATTGCCAGCGTTCAACATGTAAATCTCGTTCGTCTTTTTGGGTACTGCATTCATAATAATTTACGATTTCTTGTTTATGAGTTCATCCCGAATGGGTCTTTAGCCAATTGGATCTTTTCACGACCACGTTTAACGACGAGGGGAAACGATATCGGCGGAGGTTGCTTGTCGTGGGATCTCCGATCTGCGGTTGCACTCGACGTCGCGAAAGCTCTCGCCTACCTACACCATGACTGCCGGTCAAGAGTCCTCCATCTCGACGTGAAGCCGGAGAACATCCTCCTCGACGAAAACCACCGTGCCATTGTTTCCGACTTCGGATTATCTAAGCTAATGACACGAGATCAGAGCAGAGTTTTGACCACATTACGAGGGACAAAAGGGTACTTGGCTCCGGAATGGTTGTTAGAACTCGGAGTAACGGAGAAATCAGACGTTTTCAGCTACGGAATGGTGTTGTTAGAGCTCATCGGCGGGAGAAGAAACGTGACGGTGATAGACACCGGCGGCGCCGGTGACCGTTCAAAGAGAAAGTTTCAGTATTTTCCGAAGATAGTGACGGATAAGTTGAAATCAGGGAGGTTGATGGAGGTGGTGGATCAACGGCTGATGGATCTCGGAGGGCTTGATGAGAAGGAAGTGAGGAAAATGGTGTACGTGGCGCTGTGGTGCATACAAGAGAAGGTGAGGCGGCGGCCGACGATGTTGGAGGTGGTGAAGTGGCTGGAAGGGCGAGTGGCGGTGGAGGAGCCGCCGGAGACCCAGATGATAGTCGTTGACCTTTTATCGATAGATGATGAAGATGATGAAGGTGAAGGGCAAAATGGTAATAAAAGGAAAAAGCCAAAAAAGATTATTGCTAGAGCTGCTTCCCAATTGAATGGTTGCTTGACTACGAGTACCAATTCTTTGCAATCAAAATCCTTTTCGTATTCTATGTCCATTATTTCACCACGATAGTAACCCTATCAATTTTAGTATATGTTGTAATGATTTATTTGTACATTGAACCAAAATCATACATTAACTTGGATTTGATTTTTGGGTTTTTAATCCTTTTGAATCAACGAATCTTTTCCTTAAAGACGACTACAATGAATATTTTATCTTTATCTTTAATGTTATATATACATATATATATATATATATATATATATATATATATATATATATATATATATATATTGTATTTCAAAAACTATAATTCATTTTCTCACAATACTTATATATAAATAAAAACTACAACTACTAGTTTTTAGTTATAAACAAGTGCTATAAGTTAACGCTTCCAACTATAAAACATATGCTTATCATTAGCTAGTTTTATCAAACATATATATTTAAAAATTAATACATCTATAACTTTATTTATGTATAAATATTTAAAAAAATAATTATAAAAAAAAACGACTAAAATAAAATATGAACATAATTGGTTAGAAGACATATCATTAATTAGCATGGCATGTTCTTTTGAACTCGACAATGGACACCTAATTTACCTTTCTAGAAGCGTCGAGAAAAAGGCAAAAGGAGATTTCACATGTCAAATTGATTTGATTTTTCTTGGAAATTAGCATCCAAGTGGGAGGACCGAAAATGTAATTAACGAAAAGAACGAGGTAGCCAATAGTCCAAACTTACCAAAACTTAAAACTCTAAATCTTTTGTCGATAGAACAAGAACACACAAACACGCATTGCTTCCATTGGTGACTCCGTTCGACTATCTTCAGGTACTTTCTGATCTGAAAATCCCCAATTTTTCTGTAGATCTAGTGAAAACACTTGCGACGTGCTATAGAAAAATCGTTGATATCCGTTACTAATTATATATCTCAGTGATGTACATACGCATTTAGATTTTAGATATGATAATTGATAAAAGTTGCATTTTTTGATAATTTTTACGAAACTGTTATGCTCTTTTGCACGAGTAATTAACAAAACGAAGCAATTCGTTACTAATTCCATTCGGAGATTCGAGTTCATTTGAAGATTCAGCGGTCAAATTGGTCCATTTTCACCTTGAAATCGACGAGGATATGTTTGGTTATCGATAGGAAACACTTTCGCTATTAGATTATACAAAATTTGTCAGATATATCTGTCAGCTCTTAAGTAGTAAAACCAGAAGCATAAATGCCAATTTTGTATTTCAAGAATTACTAGGTTTTTCAGTATGAATGGACTCTAACCGGAAGAAGAGATATGAACTTTTCTGTTCATATACTCCCTCACCCCTTTGCAAGAATTTGGGTTTTGGGATGTCCATAATTTTGTAGCTTTACTTTGTTGGAAAATTTCCAAACTAGAATTATACATTTGCCCATTTGTTACTGTTACAATTAGTCCTAGGATCTCCATGAGTGCGTAGATGTTCTTCAAATGCCATATAATGTTTTAGGATTGCAAATTGGTTTTGCAAGCAATTGTAAACTTTACTGGTTTGAGTATTTAAGAATCAAGATAATCAATGTTGCCTCCATGTACAATCATTTCAAGTGTTTAAAATGTTGTGGGTGATTCTACTCTCTATATATTTCAACCCAACACCCTAGTTCTTGTCTCATTTTGAATGGGTATATTAGTAATTTAGTATATTAGTATATATCCATTTGGGATACAAGAACTCATCTGTTTGACAACTTATACATATCAAATCATGTTTCTTATTTAATGGATGTTCTACAAGAAAGATTTTCATTACATTTTGATGGTAGGGTTTCATTGCAGGTTTTTTTTTTCTTGGTGGCTGTATTTCTTTTATCTATAATATGAGTTTCAGTGGCCCTTCTCTCGGTTCTGGTAAAAAAACTTTTCCTTTTCCTTTTCCTTTTTCTTTTTTCTTTTTCTTTTCCATTTATATTTATTTTCAACATTGGTTGTTTTTCCATGAAAGGTGGAAGAACTGCCAGAAGGGTATTCGAATTTGGAAGAACATATGTTGTGAAACCTAAAGGCAAACACCAAGCAACCATTGTATGGTTACATGGCCTTGGTGATAATGGTTCAAGGTAACTGTAATTGACTAATTTCAATTTCATCATTTCATTTTCCTTCTCTATTTGGCTATATATATTATCATCCCTAAATTAACCCTTATCAGATTCTTCACAAATATTATTGTTAAATGTTTAACTACATCTACAATATTTTAATAACAATTCAGAATTTAAAATCCATATTTTTCCTTCTGCAGCTGGTCCCAGCTCTTGGAGACTCTTCCTCTTCCAAATGTAAGCAAACACTTATTAATTTATTATGCAGTCTTTAAAATATAAATGATAATTATAAATTCTAAACTTGATTATTAAATCTTTCCATGGTTTTTAGATCAAGTGGATATGCCCTACTTCACCTTCTCAACCATTAACCTTATTTGGTGGCTTTCCCACAACTGCATGTATGATTTAAATTTTCATAACACTATTTTACATCTATATCTATATATATTTTTTATTATCATAACGTAAAGTTGTATTCCCAAGGGTAAATACGTAATTATGTATGATGGATTTTAGGGTTTGATGTAAGTGACTTATCTGAAGATGCACATCAAGATGTAGAATCAATGGATGCTTCTGCAGCACATGTATTGAGTCTGTTATCTACTGAACCTTCAAATAGTAAGTTCCAAATTTGATTTACTTTTTTTACTTGAGATAAATTCAAGAAATGTTTGACTTTTTTTTTTTGTAGTCAAACTTGGTGTAGGAGGGTTTAGTATGGGAGCAGCAACTGCTCTATATTCTGCAACTTGCTTCTCCCATGGAAAATTTGGAAATGGAAACTCCTACTCAACTCATTTGGATGCAGTTGTTGGCCTTAGTGGTTGGCTTCCATGTGCAAAGTTTGACTCTGACTCTCCTCACCATTTTACCTTTTTACCCCTTGTACTTAAACCACATTTCTATTTTTAATAACAATTTTAAAAAAAAATTGTAGGGATCTGAGTAACAAGGTGGAAGGGGAGGAAGCTGCAAATCGGGCTTCATCCTTGCCTGTTTTACTCTGTCATGGCAAAGGTAAATATTTTAAAAAATTATTCCAATTATTTATTTATTTATATTAATATTTTAGTAATTTTTCTACGATTTATGGCAGCTGATGATGTGGTACGCTTTCGTTTTGGCGAGAAGTCGGCACAAAAATTAACTTCAACCGGCTTCAAAAACCTCACTTTCAAATCCTATGACTCGTATGTCAGATACTGATACTGTTACTGTTACTGATACTGATACTGATAATACTGTCAGATGTTGACAGTGTGAACTGTTTATTGTAGGCTTGGACACTATACGATTCCTGAAGAGATGGATGAGGTTTGTTCATGGCTGACTTCAAAATTGGAGCTGGAAGGTAAGTAGTGGTTTTTTGATGATTTGAAAAAAAAAAAACGAAAAAAGAAAAAGAAAAACAATCTCTACTTATGTAAAGTATTGTTTTTTTTTTTTGGGTGTTTTAGTTGGGAAGTTTGTAATGAGTAGGAGAATTAATTAGATATATTGTATGATCGAATCTTATTACTTTGCATTTCTTGAGGTGGATTCTTGATTTTTAAGATTTATTTTACATTTGCTGACTTTAATTTTAAGGAATTGTGGATTTGCGTATAAAAATATGGAAATAAAGATGAAAATGGAATAAGTTGTTTGAAATAGCATGGAGATTTTTTAGTTAACTTAACAATGGGAATATTTTGTTTGATTCTGTGTACTTTGTTTTTATTTGTGTTTTTGATGAATGAAAAAGTCTTGTGATATATTCTCATAAAAAGTGGAGAATATGTTTGGATTTTGTTTGATCGAATCTTAGGGCTATAAAAAAAATATTTTTATAATATTCCGTATTTAATAGAATCATGTTAGAGTTTCCATAATAGGAAAGATTTTTCTTTACTTACTCTTTTATGTTTTTTGATTCCTACCAAAACAGAAATACAAACTATGTAAATTCATAAAATATTATTAGAATTATGAAGAAAAAAACTATATGTATGGAGATTGTAATTTTACAAACAAAGTGAACAATAGTTTGTCTGGTTTTGACAACACTTAAAAAACAATAATGCTTTTCTATGTTTTGTTTTGATAGTTCAGATAAAAATGTGTTGTAAATTATTTTTTTTGAAGTGAGACATGTCAAACAAAAAATAGAAATTCATTATTAGTTTATTTTTTGCACAATGATATAGATTAGTGGAAAAAAACTAAAAATGTAGTATTGTATGAATAAACTTTGTTATAAAGAAAAAAAAAAGCCCATATTATAATTTGTTGAAATTTATATTACAACTAGAAATGAAAGTGTATGTTTACAAGGATTTTCCTAACAACAAATTATTCCAAAAATCTATGAATAAATAGACACATCTTGAATGATGTCAAATTGTGTAAAGCTCAACCATTTTCATCCGAGTTTTCATCGAGCCTAATGACTTCTCTTGTTTTGATAATCTTTCATGTAAGAATTAAAAAATGTTTATATGTATGTCCCAAGACATCTCAAAAAGTTTTGCTCACCATTGACTCGGTCGAGAACGTGCATTGCTATCACATAAAGACACCATTAAATAGACTAAGAAGGGGGTATAACCACAAAAACTTTTATCATCTTTCAATATTTTGCAAAGCAAAAGTCGTTTGCAAAAAAAGGTAATTTTTAAAATACTTAACGTTAGAAATTGGATTCTAGGAAATCTAAATGAGTTATCAATATTTCGAAGGTATTTTTTGTTAGAAAATATTAAAAACTACATTTTTAAAGGTCAAAGGGTTTTTTTTTTTTCTTTCAAAAATACATATTTTCGAACAACTTCCAAAAGTGAAAAATATGTTCAAAATTTTTGACTTGCGAAGCTACTTTATGTTAGATGGAAGTTGAGAACATTCTTAAATATATGTGAATGGCTATTGATATATGGTAGTTAGGAAGAGCTCAAAATAAAAGGTAACTCATGCGAGTTTTCAAACTAATAAAGATGACTCTTGCTGACAGTAAGGATTTGTTTTTATTAAATGGAGAAGATGTGAATGGAAGAGTTCCAAGTAGAGCTAGGTAGCAGACTTAATAACATAATTTGAGTATATAATAGTAAATGAAGTTGCTAAGGAAGCTATAAGCATGAAGAAGTTCATTAGAGATTGAAACATCCAAAAATACGGTTCAAAATTTTCATTTTAAATCATTCATAAAACCATAATTATTATTCTTGATCTCATAAAACATAAGTAATGTATATCAAAATATCATAACATCTGCCAACAACATCAGAGTATAAAAATCTCAGGCTGAACATGTGGTGTGTACACTGCAATCATCTTGAGCTCTTCCCCTTGCCACCGGAAGCACCTGGAACTAAAACTGAAAACTTTAAGCATGAAACTTAGTGAGTCTCCCCAAACTACCCCATATCATACACATAGCATATAAAATGCAGCTAGGAGATACGGGCATCGCCTACACTCAACTAACTATAACATACGGGCCTCGCCCACACTCATCTATCTAAGAGATACGGGCCTCGCCCACACTCTGCTAACCAGGAGATACGGGTCTCGCCCACACTCAGCTGGCTAGGAGGTACGGGTCTCGCCCACGCTTTGCTATTCGGGAGATACGGACCCCGCCCATACTCCGCTAACTAAACATACATACAAGTATCACGCAGATAACAAGTATAACTATAATCTACCAGTTCATAACATGCACAGATAATACTAAGATATGGGCTCAACCCACACTTAACTACTCCACATGGGCCGACATTGGTGCCTTCGACTCGTCCCTACTAAAGGAAACTCACATCTCAAGCTGGTTGCTGAAATATCATGTGAGGAATTTCTGAGGCTGCTCCGGCGACTCCCCGACTATCATTATCACAATAAACACTTAGTCAAAAACTCATAATCCTTCTAAGGGTAAAATGACCATTTTACCCTTGGTTAAAGTCAACATTATGGTCAAAGTCAACATTATGGGTTGACCCAACTCACCAAGTTCTATAACTCAAAAATCCTGAAACTGCGACCCAACTCGCAAAGTCACCTCCACGACTCATCGAGTTCTATCGAGCTACTCATAGTCGCAATTCTAGCGAATTAACTTGTTGAGTCATCCTTAGATTCGTCGAGTTCTACCATAATCAGAAACGGGACAAAAATACTCAACTCATCGAGTCCCTCTCTGGACTCGCCGAGTTCCTCACTTTGTTTGGGCCATCTTAAAGAATTAAGCCGCTAATCTATAGATCCAAACCCCATACTCCATTCACACACTGGAAATACCATTTTAAGGCTAAAGCTTCCAACTTTACCCGCTGTTAGTCCTTCTTAATGGGTTTAGCTAAAACCCTAGTCCTCTAGGACATAGATCTTTGTCCCAAGGTCATAATACTCCAACCCAAAGCATGAAAACCGAGTTCTAGGTCCTAGACATCAAATGAACACGTAAAGTCTCATACTTTACTTCCATGCATGGCATTTTGGGCTTAAAAAGGCCAAACTAACACCTTATAGCTTGCATGGGGGTTTCAATGGCATAAATTTTGCATCTTTATGCCTTAACAACCCTTAATGATTCCAGATCTAAAAGAATCCTTGCTTGGGACGCCCATATCCCTAAAGGCTAAGCTTCTTGGACCAAAACCCTAATGAAGTGAAGATAGGAAGATCTAAGAAACTAATAAACAAGGTAGAGGCTTGTGTGACATCCTCATTTTCACGACCATAAAAGACCGATTTTGTTTATGCTTTATAAAAATCAGAGTATCTCTTTTAATAAAAACGATGCAGAATTTGTTCCCAGAAAAACATGATAATTTCATTATCAAAGCATTTCCGAAAAAATATATTTTTATTCATTTTAAAACATTTGGGATGTCATCGTCAATACAGAAACATAAATACATTCATTTACACTAGTGATGTATATCTTCTTAATCTCTCAGTGTAATGTAACTTTACATCATCACCTATGATACAAGTAAACTGAGTGGGTCAGGTTGGGAAACCTGGTGAGTACATAGGGTTTTCAACCCACAATAATATAATTATTATGTTTAATCATCAAACAATTAACCCAATTACCCATCCCTATTATCTTCTTTATTCCTAAGTACCTTCCCTAAGGATTTATCCTAAGGATCGTCTCCTACATCATGTTTACGTCTCATCTCCTTACATCGTATTTCCTTATATGTTTGTTCCTAAGGACTATCCCTAAGGATCATCGCCTACATAGCATAGACAGTATTGATTCAGGGATTACTCCCTCAATACGTGCCCAACAAGGGTTAGGGCATCATCGCATGAATATGTAGTTACAATATCGCCTAAACTCGTAATTCATAGTAAGGGGTTAGAGTATGATCGCATGAATACGTAGTTACAACATCGCCTGAACTCGTAATTCATCACCTACAGGTTATGGGCCTACTGGTGTTTCCATGGGGTTGTCTAGAATAGTCCATGGTCTCCATCTATACTCTGGTAGATGACTACATCACCACATTGCTGGTTAAGGTTATGGTATCTCCTTTCATCCTACATCACCTATTCATCATCATCTATTTACCTAATTATCATCACCTTTCTATCATCACCTATCTCTCATCATTTTATTTCATTACACACCAACTATTTCATCTACCCATGTTTCATCCGCAACATATTTGTAGATATAAAATAAATATATTGTTTAAATCTTTTAAAACATGTATAAAATCGTTCATCCAGCATAGACAACAAGTATTCAAATAATATGCACACATAGCACGTAATTTATATAAAATACTTCATATCTATGTGTAAGATGAAAGTAACTATGCACTCACTTGAAAAGGTGGTGATTCCGAACTCAAACAGCGCTTCGCTTCTTAAAAATAATTTCCTTCGGCGAAACCTAGTATTATTACCACTAGAGTTCAGTCTATTATTCGTCGAGACTAATTAATAGTCTAGATATTATTACTATTATATAAGTGTTAAACAATACTTATATAACCCATAATAATAGCCCAAGTACTTATTATAAGTTCCTAATAACGTTACTATAATTAAATAAAAGTTATATTAAAAATAGCGTAGGCGTAGTTCACTTACAACGGGTTTTATAGAAAACCTAGCTTTGCTTGGAGCAGTATTCCCAAGCCGAAAAGCTCTTCTTCTCGGATCCATCGAGCACTCTAGGGCTTCCGCCTCGTGTTAGGGAGGTTCCCTAGGCTTTTCGGGGGGTATCGGGGCTAGAGAGAGGTTCTAGAGAGAGAGTAAAGAGAAGTAAGAATGGGAAATGTGTGAAGAAAATGAGGGTGGGAGAGGTTCTATTTATAGGGTGAAATATGGATGAACTTGGTGCCACATGTCACCATCTGGTGGCAAGACTTGGGGAGAAAGCAATGGCCAAGATTGTGTCACGTCACCCATTTTCGTACAACACACTTCCGGCTTCTAAAATCCGTAACTTTCACATACGAGCTCTGTTTTTTACGTTCTTTATATCTA